TTTGCAGATAAATTAAAATGCAAGTGTATCTATTAGGAAAGGTAGGCTGTCATCACGGTTAGTAACGGGAACAGGCAGGCCATTAAGCAGGGCTACCTGAGGCTGGGACAGCCCCTGAATACGGAAGCTTGGAGTTCAAGCTAGGCATTCAGTTACTGTCAAAACCAAAAGTATTCCTTCTCTGGGAGGAATCTTTATGCTCCATTCAGTTGCCCTCATTGATTTCTAAAGCATGTTTCTCAAATAAGAAATATTTCCCCTCCTTAACTGAAAACTAAAAATAAGCCTAAATTGCTATGGTTTCATACCTTAAAGTCAAAGTTTACATAAAACTGATGTCTTAAAATTACAATTCTGCATTCTATTGTTTAGGTGAGGAAATATGAAGCCAGACTGATTCTTTTCCTCTACAAGTCCAGGATATTGGCTCCACCAGGCCTAATATATTGTTTTCACAAGGAAATAAATAGAGCATGCTGTAGCTTACATTCCCTTGCACAGAAGGTTTTAAACAATATGTATCCTAAACAATAAATAATTACAGATGGGGGAGAGTGGAAGAAGGAAACACTATAAGGGTGGGTGGCTGGGGAATGTTTCTTAACCAAATCCGGGAAAAGACTGAAATTCAAAATGTTAGCAACCTGAAGGTCGTTGTGGGAAAGACTGCCACTTTAACCATTTAAAATCTATAGAGGTGCCCGGCTGGTGTGGCTCAGTGGTTGAGCGTTGACCCATGCACCAAGAGGTCACCAGTTCGATTCCCGGTCAGGGCACATGCCCAGGTTTGGGGCCCAGTTCCCAGGGGGTGGCCAATCGATGTTCTCTCATTGATGTTTCTCTCTCTTTCTCCCTTTCCTTTCCTCTTTCTCTAAAATCAATAAAGAAAAAAAAGAAATACATAGAGGAAATGAGAAGATAATAAAAGAAAGAAGAGGAAGAAGGAATAAGAATATGAGAAGAGATATTAAGGCAACCTTAAAAGTAAGAAACAGAAAAATAAATTCTATGGACAGAAACCAAGAAGACATATACTGTCCCACTGTGAATTAAAGAGCTTGGGGAAAAAATGGCTGTAATCAGCTGAAGATGGGAATTTTTTTTTCAGCGGATGATTATATGAAGAAAAATATTCTTAAAAATCTATGCTCAGAAAGGTTTATAGTAGAAGATGGGGCAAAGCAAAACAAAATCTAAGATCAGGAAAAGAAAATGTTTTTTAATGAGACTGCTAGGAAAATTAACTTACACTTACACTAGAAGTAGTCAAACAGGGCCATAGTCTTTTGCTCATATCACTCAATAAACATACTTTATTTTGGGTTTATTTTTTTCCATTACCATTTATCCCTCCATACCCTCTTCCACCTCCACCCATCCCCCCCCCATACTCACTGTTGTCCGTGTCCATGAGTTCTTTATCTCTTTTAAAAAATATTACTATTTTTTTTAAAAGTTTTTATTTATTTTTTTGTTACAGATATTTCTCCTTTTTTACCCCATTGGCACCTCCTCCCCACCCCACCCCCGCCCTGTCCCCGGCTTAGTTGTCCATGTCCGTTGGTCATGCATACATGCATGTATGTTCTGTGGTTTATCTCTTCCCACCTCACCAAAAATATTACTATTAATTATCATTATTATTATTATTAGAGAGAAAGAAAGAAGAGAGAGAAGGAGTAACATCTATATGAGAGCAAAACATCGATGGGCCACCTCTTGCATGTCTCCCACTGGGATGGAGCCCAAACCCCTGGGTACACAGGGTGATGGCCAACCAACTGAGCCACACCAGCCAGGGCTCTTTTTCTTTTTCCTTTTTTGCTCTATTCCTCTACACCCCCCTCCCAGCCCCACCCCACATCCCACCAGAGGTGTCTGCTGACAAAAATTTTTATTAAATGGTTACTGTGTGCTCCATGCTGTTTTAGGAATTGAGGGAAGGAACAAGAGAAATAGAAGCCACAGTTCCTGTGCTGATCACTTGACTATCTAGTTGGGGAGCAAATCTCTCACAAAAGTAGCCATCAGGGAACAATTCTGTCATTTATCACTGTACTAGATCTTTTGGCGATGTTTATAAGAAGCCAAGAGATCTGATCTTTCTTGTCTGGAGAAGGGAATCTCTTTATTTGTTTTACCTCACTATATAACAAATGCTAATACTAATTTCACCATACTGTTTCTTCTTTGGGAGAGATTTTCCAGCCGTGGTAATAGAACTGCAGTTAGCAAGCAAGAAGTGGGTCACAGCCCTGGCCGGTTTTGCTCAGGGGTTAGAGCGTCAGCCTGTGGTCCAGAGAGACCTGGGTTCGGTTCCCGTTAAGGGCATGTGCCTCGGTTGCAGTTTGTCCCCGGCCCTGGTTGGATTGTGTGGGTGGCAGCCACTCGATGTGTCCCTTTCACGTTGATGTTTCTCTTTCTCTCTCTTTTGCTCTCTCCCTCCCACTCTTTCTGAACAACAAAAACAAAAACAAAAACAAAAACAAAACAAAAAAATGTCCTCGGCTGAGGATAAAAAAAAAAAAAGAAGTGGGTCATGGACGAACAACCCCATCTTATACTTTGAGAAGAAATATAAATGAATGGTTTTTAGTTTGTGATAGTCTTTCCTGACAATATTCACTTATCAGTTTAATTTTTACAGATTCCCCTTTTCTCCTCTAACCCTAACCCTCCTTTTGATAGTTTCTCAGTGTCTCAAGAATTAAGGTCCCCACAACTTGAATCAACTGCCCTGCCGGCCTCATCTGCTGCTCTACCAGCCACACTGATGTCCCCTAAAAAGAATTCTCACATTTCTAGGCCTCTGCTCTTGCTGACTCTTCTGCCTATGCCACCCTTTCCTTCCTTGTTGAAGCCTCACCTCTCCTTTCCAACACAGCTCAAAGGCTAGTGTTCCCAGAGAGCTGGTCTCCATGGTGGGGCAGCCAGATGGTGTTGTCAATGTTCTTCTGTAATGTTTCCCCACAACCTCTTATAGTCAGTGATCTACCTCTCTGGGGGGAAGGGTTTCAAGCTCACTGCCAGCAAGGGCTGTCCCTCTTGTTTGTAACTCAGCCTCTAGCACCTTGTCTTACGTTGGAAAGTGCTCAGAATATATTTGCATAATTATTCTACCAGCATCGTCAATTTATTTCCCTTGCTGCACACTGCTCCCTCTCTCAACAACTAATTCTAAAACCGCACTCTTTTATTTCTCAGTTGTATCTCTAACCCTCTAGCAGTGGTTCTCAACCTTCCTGATGTCAGGACCCTTTAATATAGTTCCTCATGTAGTGTGTGGGCCGTATCTGCATGTGGGCGGACCCGCCTCAAGAGGAGTGGTGTCTGGGGGTCCTAAGACCATCGGAAATATGTGAAAGGGTTCTTCCACCCCCAAAGGGGTCGCGATTCACAAGTTGAGAACCACTGCCTAAGGCTTTAATAAAAAAGTGTATCTCATGAACATAAACTGCTATTAAGGCACAATTTTGGGGTATAGAGATCCTGTGTCAATCCAAAACTCTCAACTGCCTATGCTAAGGTCCCTAGTTTGTCCATGAAAACAATTCACTCAGGTAATTGGGTACATAATTAAAGTCCTGAGAAGCTGAAAGTTATTTCTATAGACCTAATACTAAAATAAAGTATTTTTTGGTCTATTTGCATTGTTTGGCATCCAAGCAATGAACATTGGGCAGTTTTAGGTACTGAAAGTACTTGAAGCAAGATCTTTTCTGGCTGACACTTAGCCACCAAAGAAATGGGCTTCTAAGGACTCTGAAATGGCATTTAAGATAAGAATCAGTAGGCCCTGTTGGGCTTACAATTGGAGTGAGGAGGTGAAGTGACCTACAGAAATCTTTTTACTTGGACCCCAGATTTAGCCCACTGAACCCTAAGTCCATTATGGTATGGGGTCGCTGGATTCTTGACGGACACTTACATGCTGACTTTTAGACTCCCATAAACAGAAGAAGGCCTATTGGAGCTATGGAAACACAACAGGGGGTGCAAATATGAAAGCTCAACCCCAAAGGGGCAGTTAAGTGAGTGGCCCAGTGTCCGAGGGGATGGTAGCGGTTCGAGTGAAGTACAGAAAAAGTAAAACAAGTGTATCTTTGTGTGTTGTGGGGTGAGGAGCGCAAGAACTGGAAGGAAGGATCCCAGGAGAAAGGTTAGAAGGTGGAATGAAACACATCTCGGAGGAGCATGTGAGGACCAAGGCCCGCAGCTACCCGCGCAGCCCGGACCGCCGGGGCGAGCCCGGCCGGCAGAGGGCAGCAGCTGGGCGGGAGAAGCCTGCCGAGGGCCCCGCGGAGTCCACCGGCTCGCGGGGATCCTCATTTTGAGTGTGAGGCGAGTGGCTCGCACCCGTCCCTGACCCTGCGGCCAAGGCGAACCTCAGGCTCCGTAGCGGGAGTGGGTGTGTGCGGGGATCGCTGTGGAGGTCCCCCGCCCCTGCCCAGGGCACAAGAACTGGGAGCCCTCTGCCTGGTCCCCGGGAGGGAAGCAGAGCCGGAGTTTGGAGGGCCCCGGGACGCGGGTGGGAGGGGATCTCCGCGCCCCCTGCAGCTGCGTCCCGGGCCGGTTCCTCTGGCTGAGCGCCCCGCTCGGGGGACCGCGTCAGCGCCCGGCTGGTCGGGGGTCCCCGCCACCCCTCCCGCCCTGCTTCCGGGGCCACGACCCGCGCCCGCCATCCGCCAAGGTGCGCCTCCCCCGACGCTGCCCCAGGCGGAGACAGGCGGGCCGCACCCCGAGCCCGCTGCCGCTCCGCAGGTTCCGCTGCGCCGTCGAGGACCGCGGGCGGCGTGGGCGTGCGCCGTTCCGGCGGGGCGGGGGCGCGGGCGCCCTTGACCGTGGGCGCGAGCGCGGGCAGCGGGCTTTATGTAAATCCGCTGTGCCCAGAGTCCTAGGTAGGATGGACCAGCCCCCGCGCCTCGGCCCTCACGTCCAATAAGAAGAGCCCCAGCTTGACACCTGCCTATATACGGGCGAGCGCGCCCCGGCCCGGCCCGCGCGCACAGCCCGCACAGCCCGCACAGCCCGTGGGGCCAGCGACCCCGCCGCCACCATGACTTCCAGCAAGATCGAGATGCCCGGGGAGGTGAAGGCCGACCCCGCCGCCCTCATGGCGTCCCTGCACCTCCTGCCGTCGCCCACGCCCAACCTCGAGATCAAGTACACCAAGGTAAGCGGGGCGAGGACCGCCGTCCACGGAAACTTTCTAGAACCTTCCTTCCTTCCTCTGCGTGCTCCGTTAGGGGGCGAGGGAGGCCTCCTGGGGTCGGGGCGGGGGGTCGCCGGGGCGGCTTGTCATCCCCGCGCAGCGGAAGGGACGCCCGTGCTCGGGGTGGCGGCTTCTGAAGTCCCCGGGGGCTTAGGACACCTCGGGGACGTCCCGCCAGGAGAAGCGCGGCGCTGGGGGGTCGCGGTCAACGGCTTTTCCCGCAAACCCTCTGCAGCCGCCTTCGACCCCGCCCCGGGGTCCCGACCGCAGCGGGGAAGGCGTCGCGCCTCGGCGGCTCCTCCGAGGGGGACGGAGGGTGTCCCGCCCGGTTGGCCACGCAGCCCGCCGTCCTTTGTCGGCCGTCCGCCTTCAGGGGCCGCTCGGCCCGGTCCGCCCAGGTCCTCGGAAGTCCCGACGGCGCGCAGGGCTTTGCGTGGGAATCGTCAAGGGCCGGCGCTCAGGCCGCTGCGAGCCCTCCTGGCAACCTGGCTGCGGGGCCCCGGGTCGCGTCGCACCGCAGCGGCGGCCGGGGCAGGGGCCGCTCTCCTGGGGACCTGGGACAGTCTGCATTTGCGTAAATCCACAGGTTCGCTTTTGAACTGGGAAAAAAAATTCTTGATAACGAACTCTGACATCTTGGGATTGCCAGGCCGGCATTTGTTGTTACCCCACATTAAAAGAGAATGTGTCCGCTACCTAATATAATTTGAATTTACTTTCTTTTCCTAAATTCGACATAGAAAGAAATTATTAATAACGCATGGAGGGGGTTATAATGTTATAGTGTTGGAGGGGAGGACAGATGGGGTTTAAAGTCATGTTTCTTGTTCATTTTAGTTCTCTTGTTGGATTTTCTATTTCTTTCAGTTGATTTCTACCCTAAACTTCTCTCGATTAACTTAAACACACACTGAGTACACCCAGTATGGTTAAAGTTGTTTTTCATCATGCTTGTTACAAGATAAACTACATTTTGTCAAGAAGTAAATTGTTTGGTTCTGACTTAATGGTTGAAAGAAATACAAAAACCATCATCCGAATATTAACATTTTACTCGCGTTGAGGTTTGGGTTACAAATCAGGGTGGTTCGTGTTTTGAGTGCCGAGTTAGATGAATTTGATGTACCTGTTAGCTTTTTTAAATGGTGTGACAAATTTCTGAAAGCCGTTTTAATGAGAGGTCGTTAATGGTTACAGCCATTTAGGCATCATTTGCGTAACAATAGTGCCAATGTGTGGCACATCTCTGGGTTCAGGAACAAGCGGGGAGAGCCTGCAGCATACAAGTTTTGTTTTATGAGGTCTCTAACCTCTTCAGCCTCACTTGAAAGTTCTTAAGATGTAAGCCCTACTTCTAAGAGAGGACCTAGTCCTCAAATTTGGGAGGGTTTAATTTTAGCCTTACTTTTGATGGGATTTTGCTCACAGCCCTGAAAGGAGTTTTAGGTATGCAGTAGGTATTTCGGAATTTAATTTGGAAGCTCTTCCAGCTCTCTTTCTCCAACTGCCCCAGCTTTTTTTTTTTTTCTCTTGTTCTCCCCCAGTAGGAAAGACAACTGATTTATAGCTAATTGAAGTCTTTAATGTGGAGTCTTTTTGCTCAGGGGAGACTTTTATCCAGTATCCACTTTCCCACTTATTACAAAGAAAAACAATCAGAAATGAAATAATGGATTGTAACCTGATTCTTTAATTTGTGGGGAGGAGGCACCTTATTTTTGGCTTGACAAACAACCCTCATAAACACTAAGTAATACTAATCTAAAGGCGACCTCTTTTCACAAAACCTTGTAAAATCAGGTATCTGTGAACATTCCCCGCAGCTTTCCTCCTCAGCTCTTTAGAGAGACTTCGAAATTTTCTGAGACAGGCGTTGTGGGCAAGCAGCATTTTTTAATGGGGTGCAAAAGCTGCTCTTTTGGTAGCCAAGGGTAATGGCAAATGCTGTTTTAGTTAAAAGGAGAATAAGATTAATGGAGAGGTTTGTTTTTATTTTAAGTTCACTTATGATCACAAGTGAGGGAAATTATATTAGCATTTTTAAGCAGAAGAATGTGTAAGATAGAATGGATAGCTAGTCCTTTAGAACAGTGATACCACATTCACTAGGAATTTTTAAAGCGGTAATAATTGGCTAAAAATTATTATGCTGGAGGGCTTGTCAAATAACACATAGGAAACAACACTATTTGTGTCAGAAAATGGTACAATACAGATGTACCATTTTTGTCTTGTTAAACAAATACATCCACTAAAGGAGGCTATTGTGATAGATTTTTAAAATATGATTTTGGGACCAACATAAAGTTGCTATTGAGAATTTCAAATAGCATGCATTTAGAAAACTGCACTGTGATCTCGTGTTTTCTGTATTTTTTCACCATTCTCTTTCTTCTAAAAAAAAAAAAAGGTTACTGCCTTTGTTTGTCAAAAGTCTAGTGAAAATGCTCCAAAATTAAAGTTCAATCTCCAAGGATGTTGAAAGGGCTAAACTTCTGGTTTTGTGTGTATTGACTTTCAGGCAATTACATTTAGTTTTTAAAATAAGCCTACCTCTCTGAAGGTCTACTACCCATTTTAGACTAATGATCAGTGGCAAAACCATCTGTGGAATATGTCTATTTTTATTTCTCTAATAAAGTAAGCTAGACCTCAAGTTTTAAAAGTGATTTCTTATTAACGAATATGTTAAACAAACTAACAAAAAAGACTGTATTAGTCAAGGAAGAGTGATAACAGCACCAACATGAAGGAATGAGTGGACTACTTTGAGGCAGAAAGAATGTATAGTCTCTTACTTGTATCCAAAGAAGAAAGCTTAACAGCTAGCATAGGAGTCAGATTGCTTTTAGCTATGCTTTTATGAATAAAAGATTTTCTGGGTTATTTTTGTTTTATCAGGCTGGTTTTTAGAATTTTTATATAGTTGACTATATCACAGGAGTACACACGTTGTAAAATCAGGTCTAGTACTTTACTGTCTGCCCGGAACTGCAGAGATCTTCTCCAGATTCCCAGGTCTTTGGAAACTTTCCACCTTATTACCCCTACCTTCCACCTTTCCACCTTAATACCCCTACCTTCTCCATCGTCTCTGTCATCTCTCGTGGCTCTCCCAGTTCCTCTGCCCTCCCCCCCACAAGTGCCACACTCTTTCTCTGTTGATCACTTTTTTAGTGAGAGTTTATGCCCATAACTCACAATAACATAAAGCATTGTGTTTTACTCCAGCATCTGATACTGTGGGGAGCTAGAACAGAGGGAAGAAGGGGGACATTTATGGGGTATTGACCCACTAAATTAGAGGGAAAATAAAAGGCCATCAACTGATGATCAGAGCTGATGTGCATTGGGTAACTACTATTTATTTTTTTATTTATTCAATTAAGAACCTTTTATTGAACATCTGTATTCTGGGATCAATTTCAATTCAGTTAAAAGGACATTTGAGTGGACATGTTTGTAACAACTGTGTTTTCCATTTTACTGGCTGGGATGTGGAAGGATCCACCTTCTGGGAGCTCGGGGGCTCATTAGAAGCATTGAGAGCCAAAAATTAGTTGTCAGCCTGGTGGTAGTTCAGTTAATCAGTGTAAAAATAACAATAATGACAGTACTTATGCCACTTACATTGTTCATAAGGCCTAACAGTTTACCTAGCATTTTCATATATATCTTAAGATTCTTGAAATACCTTTGGAAGGCGAGAGAGTAGGAAGAAGTAGGAATAATTGATAAGGAAGACGTTGGCTTGGATTTTTAAATAGAGCTTTCTGTACCATACCTTTTACTTTTCCTAATAGTTAAATTTTTGAGAGAGAGAGAGAGGCTTTAAATCTTTATTTTATGTTGCTTCTATTGCAAACATGGAGAAAATATGAATTGGACTTTTGATTCTCTGACTTTAAATTACTAGTTTTGATGTTTCTATGATTTTTATGTCTGGGGTAAGATTGTTGCCTATCCCAGGGATCATTTCTTATAAGATGATATGGGTATAGTTGCTTCCAAGCCATAATCAAGATTGTCTTCTGTCTTGATCATAAGTTGTTAATCAAACTTTACGTTTAGAGGGAACCTCGCGTTTTCAAAAAAAGTACTTTTTTGTAATTGCACATCTTTTTGATGTTTGTATCATCTCCATTTAACCCAGGGGAGCTGATCGAATTCATTGTAAAACTTGAATTAGATCATTCTCCTGGGGTCTTGCCTGTCCTGATGCCTTCTGCCGTATGGGCTTGTTACCACATAAATCATCATTTGCTGAGACACTTTTGTCCTTTTTATCTATAAAATGAAGAATTCGTTTTTTTATTTGAGAGTAGAAGATTCTCTGGGAGCCTGTTCTGTGAGGTCTCATTTTCTGGGAGGCAGGCTTAAGAGGAGCCAGGCATGCATAATTAGTTCTCTGTTGTATCACGAGGATCAAACCATGACCCAACGAAAAACATCTCACATACCAACATGCACAGTTCTCATTCAAGCCTTTCTAAAATGGATAATGGAATACAAATACTGATGGATATATATATATATATATATATATATATATATATTTTTTTTTTACTATCCTCACCCGAGGACATTTTTCCATTTTTTGTTTAGGTAGAGTGGGAGGGAGAGAGAGGAACAGAGAGAGAGAGAAACATCGACGCGAAGGGGACACATCGAGTGGCTGCCATCCGCACGACCAACCAGGGCCGGGGACAAACTGCAACCGAAGTACGTGCCCTTAGCGGGAACCGAACCCGGGTCTCTCTGTACCGCAGGCCGACGCTCCAACCGCTGAGCCAAACCAGTCAGGGCCTGATGGATATTTTTGTCTTTTTAGTTGTGTTAGTGACAGCTTGCAAGAGTCAGCAAACTACAGAGTGTCTGCCTAATTTTGTAAATAAAGTTTTATTGGAATACAGCCACACTCATTCAGTTACATATTGTTTGTGGCTGCTTTTGGACTACAA